ACGGAATATGGACGGAAGGACGTCCAGCGCAAAGAAAGGTTGAAATGAGGGCAAAAATGCCAAAAAATGAAAGGTAGGGACATTTTCCACAATAGACTTGAAAGGTAGGGACGTTTTGTGCCAATTACCCTTTAATTAACGGAAAAACTAACGGAATATGGACGGAAGGACGTCCAGCGCAAAGAAAGGTTGAAATGAGGGCAAAAATGCCAAAAAATGAAAGGTAGGGACGTTTTCCACAATAGACTTGAAAGGTAGGGACGTTTTGTGCCAATTACCCTAAAGAAAAATTACCAATAACTAATGGTACAAAATTCAAGAAGATAGATGTTATCTCAATTATTTTAAAGGTAGTATCCATGGGAACATAACTCATCAAATTACCCTTTTATCAAATAAACAAACATAACTTGGATTCTCGTGATAATATTAAGCCCTTGTTTTATAAAAATAGAAATTTTAATTTAACTCAAAATCAACAAATAACTTTAATCATATATTTTATGAAACTCAATTTTTCAATCACATAATTTATTAACTTTTATCTAAATTTGCTAATTTGATTTGAATTTACATCAAATAGGACTAGATAGGTAGAAAGAACGTCCAAACTTTATTATAAAAAGACATTGTTTTTCTTGCTAAACTGAGGATTTTATTTATTTATTTTTAAGAATTTTGTTATTTGTAATGATTTAAACTCCATCTCACAGATTGATGTGGCATTTGTTTTTAAAAAATGGATATGAGTGGTATGCAAACCTGCCCAATCCCTTTTCATTTTCAATTAGGCGCCATATCTTTTCTCCTAAAATTTGAGAAACCTTCAGCCACATTTTCCCTTTTTGGCGCCACCATTCGACATCCGTCTAAGGCTTCCACCGACCAATCCCGTTGAAATTGACATCGCGGGTTCAGTTCGATCGACTCATTGTCATTCACTCAAAGATGGTGATAAACAAAGGTAACTTCCTTTCTCCATAATGGTTTGCTTTTGTAGTTTCTGATTATATAATAAATGAAATGTGTTAAAGAGTCTTTGTCATGAAAATATGTAATCTTTCTTCCTTCGTGACGCTACAGTACTATGCTTCAAAGATGAAATTTTAGGCGGTGATGGTACACGTGTTCCTCAGGTGGGTAGGAAGTTCAATGATGAAAATGAGCTGTTCAATTTTTACAAAAGGATATGTGTACAACATAGTTTCCAAGTTAGATAAAAAAATTTGAAAAATTACGATGACAAAGTTATGTGATATGTTATGTTGGCATGTAGTCAGGAGGGGAAAAGAAACAATACTACAATCGATTCTTTGGCGGTTAAAACTTGGAAAAGGAGGCACCGTAGTAATACAATCTTACTTTTCAAAAATGCAAGCAAATTGCTTGAGGTTTTACTTTAGTATGGATTTAGACAATGAGTCGAGGCTAAAGAATGTTTTTTGTGAAGATAATAAGAGTCAACAAGCATATAAAGACTTCGGCGATATTGTCACAGTTGATAGCATTTACCTTACTAATAGGAATGACATGTCATTTGTCCTTTTTGTTGGAGTAAATCATCACGGACAATTAACACTACTCGGATGTAGCTTGGTGTTGAATGAGCATACAGATACATTGTATGGCTATTTAGGACATGACTGCAATGCATCCATGGTCAAGCTACCCATGAGATAATTTTTGATCAGGATAGGGACACGCAAAATGCAATTTAGATCATGTTTCCAAATACGAAGCATAGATGGCGTTTGTGGCATATAGTGAAGAAGTTACCAAAAAAGTTTCGATGCCATGTGAATAAGAGTTCTATATTTCGGACTATATATAGATTGGTTTATGATTCTCAATCTCTTGAACAATTTGAAGAAGGCTAGAGGGCGATGGTCGATATATATGAATTGCATGATAATGATTGGTTATTAGGACTGTACGATAACAAATGCTATTGGGTTCATTGCTATTTCAAAACCACATTCTTGGCAGGGGTGTCAATAACCCAACAAAGTGAAAGTATGAGTGCGTTTTTCAATGGGTAATACATTCGAAGACATTATTGAAGCAATTTGTTGAACAGTATGGACAAGCTTTGATAAATAAAATTGAGAAGGAGTTCCAAGCCAAGTCTTAATCATAAATGGTACCATGTGTAACAAGTTATGAAATGGAGAAGCAATTTAGGCAGTTTACTCCATTTCAAAATTTAGAGAAGTTCAGAAGGAGTTTATTGGAAAAGTGTATTGTAACCTCATATATGCTTTTGAGGGATGTTTCGAGATGACGTATAAAGTACACAAGGATGTCATACACAATGAGCGTTCGAGGAAAAAAGTTACTTGTCTCATTTCAACCAGAAAAGTGTGAAATTATGTGCAGTTACCACTTATTTGAGTTTTGAAGAATACAATGTAGGCATGCAATCATAGTGTTAATCCATAATGATGTCAAAGTACCACCTGACAGATATATCTTACGGAGATGGTGGAGAGATGTGAGTAAAGCCTACTTAAGAGTCGCAGTGAACAATGATGGATTGGTTAATACTCCTGGACAATTGATGTATGACAAATTGTGTCAATCTTTTGTGAAGTTGGTAGACTGTCTGCAGATGATGTCTACTAAACTATTGGAGTAGATCGAATATCAATGTAAAGAGATGATGACATCGAATTCAAGTCCCATGAGTAATGTTATGTCCTTGTATATGACCCAGATAGCCTCTTAGTATAGAGCAACATAGGATTTTGGCACCAGTAGTGTAGAAGAGCCCATTAGAATCGAGTTTTAAATGAAGTAAAGATATGTTTCACCGTTATGTTACAAATAATGTAATTTTTTAAGCACGCATAATTAAGTAGTTGGGATGTTATGTAAAGAAGTTCAAATTCAAACAAAGGAAAGAGATAGGGCATGTCCAAGTAACATGGGAGATGGTGCAAACATCATTCAAACACCTCAACAAGCACAATATTCTATGACTATACCGTTATCATCTACGCAGCTACTAATGGTTAGCATATTTATTTGATTTAGTTGCCTTTCTATTGAACCTAGTTATTTCATATAGGGTGACAACCAAAGTATTACATTTATACAACAACTACAATCCTCAAGTTTGATTCCGTCGATTGCAAATCATGGTCAAGGTAATGTATGTGGTTAAACAAGTTTACCCCACTGACTACATCTTTATTGTTTGTGTAATAATGTTCATATTGTATAGGAATTTAGGCCATACCGAACTACTAGCCATGTTTACCGGATCGAGATGTATGATATTGCTCTGTTGATTTCGAACTTTTTTGGCAATAGGTTCTAACATAGAGTTTCAATGTTATCCTAATTTGATGTTATTTTAGGATGTTTGAATTAGTTATTGTAACGTTCACAACAATTTGATGTAGGAACTTGCTTATGAACAATGTTATCCTATTGAATTTAACTCATTAATCTATGATTTGAAGTTGTGTTTTTAGCTATAGTACTCTACTTGTTTAGTAGCTAATGAATTGTGTTTAGCACATTAATCTATCAATGGAAAATATTTTTTAGCTATAGACCTCTACGTTTTTATGTGATTTGCTGGTAAAATGTTCTCGTAGGTTACAGAGGTATAGGTAAACTTTAATTCATGTAAATTTCACGTAAAACACTAACCACATGGTAGGCATCCCAATAAAGTCTTAAAATAACAATTTGATTAAATTAACAACTACAAATTAGGCACCCTTTCATTTCTTATCTTCTTTTGCAATCGCTTTTCCTCTTTCCACATCTTTTTCCTAAGTTAGCCGACACATGATTTCAAGCATGCCAAAGACATCTTGAACTAATTCATTATCCACAGGGTTAGTGGAGGTACTGCCAACGATTTCTGTTGATTCACTATTTGTTTTACCTGCTCAAACCCACTCCCAATATCCACAGTTCGCGTTGCAACAATTGAACAAATTACCTTTTTTTTCTCAGTATCCTTCTCCACCTAAAAACACCTTCACAAATTCATGTTTACACAATTGGCATGGGCGTTTATTTGGGCAATCCCCAAATAAGATCGTTATGTCTACAATTATGACATACTTCGTGATTTTTTCTTCACATTATAAGCTACAATTCAACCACATAGACAAAATGTCAATATGACGTAATAACTAATTCAAATTAATGCTTAGCAAATTTGATAATAAAATGTTCAAGAAAGTTAAATTGAAATTAAAAACTACTTCATAGTCAATTTCAGTACACAAGAATTTTGAAGACCTATATAACTTCATTTCATTCTTTATAGCATGGAATAACAATAAATTTCTGAAAACATGAAACTTCATTACACATTCAATACACAAAACCTCAACCACATACCTTTATCTAGGCCAAGTTAATCCAGAAATAGGCCAGACTACCTAACTAAACAGACAAATTTTAACCCATAGGTTTTTCCCATTGGTTTTCTTTTAGCAATACTTAACATTTATCGACAATATTTTTAGTTTACCTTATTGAACTCTACATATAGATTGTCTTACTATGCAACAGTTAAATAGAAAACCTTATCATCTCTTCAGCAAGTCGAAAAGTAGTAAATTACAGTATGCACAACTAATAATATCAAGTGACCATAAATTTAATAAAAAGATGCACCAATCTTTGAATCATTTGGTTCCCTGTAAATTTATTTATGCAAAAACAAATTAATAGTAATAAATTAGCATAAGTCATGTCATCAACTTCAAATTCGCAAGGACACATGTTGAAGACCTCTGTAATAGGAACTACTACATGTGTTCTAAAAATGGCATCTCATTACACAATCAGAACACATAATACACATATGCTCAACAAATTGACACACCCATGTAAACCAAATATCTTACTTACCAAAGGTCTGCCGCAGATTCTCCCTAAGAAGATGGTGTTCTTAGCTTTGAAAGAAGAAAAATCGGTCAAACGATTGACAAATGGAAAACCAAACAACTGGATAAAATGGAGACCATCGAGGTCGTTGAGTTAAGCGATGGAATTGGAGAATATGGATGAAGTTAGGGTAGAAAGATGATGGATTCAAAAGTTTCTGCAATTTGAGTGCAAAATGGAGGAAATGTGAGGTGAAACTGGTGTAGATATGGGCCAGTTTTCATCCAACATTTTCTACCTTTTTTTAAAAATCCATGTCATTCCATCAACCTCTTATGTACGAGTAAGGGCTAAATATTGCCTAGAAATATTACAACCGTTAGACAAAAATCAATCCAAAACACTTATGTGGAATCAAATTGGATCGAAAAATTGAACATTCCACGAATCAGATTCATACCTCCATCCATTGATATTGTTCGAAAAGCTCTCATTGTTCCAGGTAATGGCACTTCCAAGCTCTCAACACTCAAATTTGATAGTGTATCATGTATGTTTTGAGCTTGGGGACAAAAACCTTTCTATATATAGCCAAATTTTCATCATATTATGGCTACTGTTACCTTCCAATCAATGGAGAAGTGAAATCTCATGAATGCTGTTTGTCAATGTTGAAAACTGAAACCGTGAATGTGGACCATCAATTGCCCCATCAAATGCCCGTTGAAGAAACGAGAATGGATGGACAATTACAACAACCACTAGATTCATAATTCATCAAGTGATTATGAATTGTTAAAATCCCAACTCCATTGAAAAGACAACCGCTTGTTGACTTTTCTTCATTTTCTTGCCCTCCCATGTAGGGTCACTGAAGTAGAAATGTTGATGTTCAAAGGGAGAGAAAAAGGTGGAAAAGAGAAATAACTCATAAACTCACCTTTTGAGCCAATTGTGAATTTGATTATTTTTTAAAATATAAAAGCATTTTTTTGGGATGTAAATTAGGAAGATGAAAGGGTTATAAAATTTAAGTAAATATAAATTAGAATGTTGGGTTTTTGATACCCAATAAATCCTAGGCTATGATGTTAATATGGGTTAATATTATTTCACAGATATAGGTCGATGAATGAAATAAGTCCAGCAACCAAGTACATGAGTTACACCCGGCCCAATTATATTCCATCTTGGATGGCTTGAATCTTGATCCATTTTCCTCTTTAAAGGCTCGACTTAAAGCCTAAACCTAGAGTATATATATGGCTATAACCCTAGCCACTTTCTTGTGATGTTTTGTGAGGTTTTGTGTGAGAAAAAAGTGGAATCCCGGCCGCCCCCTTTGTGTGTGAAAAATAGTCTCTAGAAGTGTCCAAAATGCTTGTTTAACGTGTGCAATTGGTGGTTCCTTCATAGTATACATTTGTGGTGTCTTCTCCTAACCTTTGTGGCCACAAATCATCATCTTTTCTTGTCCTACGTGGGTAGAATTTAATAGCAACCGAGGTGAATTAATTGATCATGGTTTGAAGTCGATTGGATTAGTTGTTGGTAGAAAAAAGGTACGTTGGACTGAGCTCGAAAATTACCGATTTGAAGTTCTTTCAAGAGATCTTCCGCAACATTTTGTATCAGAACTTTAAGGTGGTGGTTTTGGCTCGTGAAACATACCAAAAATATCCAGAAATCGCAGCAGAAATCAGATCAAAGAAGCTGTCCAAAAACTATCAAAATCAGTCTCTATTTTCGCATTTTCTGATTAATCTAGAAGAAGTTTTGGGAAAAGGAGACCACTGGCATGACGTGCAGGTGGAGGCGGACCCAGCAAGGCGGCGCGTGTGTCGGTGCGTGAGCCCCACGCGCAGAGAGGAGAAGCCTTGCGTGAGGGCACGTGAGAGCTCTCGCTACAGTCTCCTTAGACTGTTTGTTCCTCACATTATTTCTGACATTTTTTGTGTTGAAAGTTTTCTATTTCAGGGTCTGCAATAGAATCTAGACAACGTTGTTCTTTGAACGTTCGGAGCTCGATTGTGGTTCGTCAGTTGCTACAGTTACTAGAGGCTTTAGGACAAATAGTGGTGGTCCTAAAGTGTTAAATTCGCGTGTCTCATAATTTACGGATTCAGATTGGTCCGTTCTAGTAAATTGGCTGAAACGTTTACATTATCGCACTAGCAGATCATTGTGTGGGATGATCATTAGGATTGGGGGTTGTCATTGTTTGTGTTAAAAAAATTAGGAATTATTTGCTCTATTTTGAAGTGTTGAACTTTGCTTGCAAGTTGGTAGTTGATTTTGTGCTTTATCTATCATATAGTTACTGTGTGAGATTTGTTGCGTGAAAATTTGAATTTTTGTTTATATACCTTCATGTTTGCATTAATTATCCCATTAGAACACCTAAACTTGACCCGTTCGAATATTCCCTTGATCTAAGATCATAAATCTTACGAAACCCTAATAATCTAGAACGGTGTATATTACGACCTTATGATTTCTTTGTGACCTATTTGTGATTTGGTTGTTCTGTTTTTCTTAAAAATGTTTTCACCCTTTGAAGTTGGAATTTTTAATGGAAAAGAGGATTTTTCTATTTGGCAACAAAAGATGAAGGGTATTTTGGTCCAACAAAAAGTTTCAAAGTCATAGATGACAAATTTTCTGAAAATTTAACAAAAGAAAAAAAAGAAGAGTATGATGAACTTGCATACACTTCAATTATTTTACACCTGTCTGACATTATTTTAAGAAAAGTAGGAAAACTTAATTATACTAAAGAACTTTGAAAAAGTTGGAGGACTTATATTTGCTTAAGTCTACTCCTAATAAACTATACTTGCTTGAACGATTTTTCAACTTTAAAATGGATCATTCAAACGATCTTGATGACAATCTGGATGTCTTTAACAAGTTAGTTCAAAACATCGTTAATTGTGATGAAAATGTATCTTAAATGTATAAGGCTACTATCTTGCTTAATTCCATGCCTGATTCATATAGGGAAGTTAAAAATGCAATTAAGTACGGTAAGGATACCTTAACACCCGAGATTATCATAGACTCACTTA